TTTAAAATTTATTTTAGAGTTTAAAAAGATAATGGGTAGTTGTGTTCCATAAAAAATATTATCCATTATCTGATTTTTCTTTTAATTTTAACTTTTTAAAAATATGAAAAAGTGTGAATTTACCATATTATCTTCATTTAATTAATAATTTCAATTCTTAATGTTTGCATTAACCAAAGATATTTTTTGGTATTTTGAATATTTTACCATTCTCTGCCTTTTGCTTTATATATACTAGCCTCTCCGCACGCACTTCCACTCATGCGAGAGGCCATTGACACATGTTAAGTGTTGAAAATGATGATAAAGAAACTAACTTTAAGTGGTGAACAAAAATATTTCCATATTTCTTATGTTCATGTTTGTATTGTTAACTAGCCTCTCCGCACGCGTGCTTCTGTGCCTATGAGAGGCTTTTTGTTTTTAAAATTTAAAATTTAAAATTTATTTTAGAGTTTAAAAAGATAATGGGTAGTTGTGTTCCATAAAAAATATTATCCATTATCTGATTTTTCTTTTAATTTTAACTTTTTAAAAATATGAAAAAGTGTGAATTTACCATATTATCTTCATTTAATTAATAATTTCAATTCTTAATGTTTGCATTAACCAAGGGCATTTTTTGGTATTTTGAATGTTTCATCATTCTCTGTCTTTTGCTTTATATATATATATATATATATATTTGATATTTAGTCGGAATTTAAGCAAGGCCATGATTTAATTTTGTTTGGTACCTTTTATTTTTCTGAATTATTATCAGTCATCTGTCTGACTTATTGGTGTACTCTTAACGAACGTGGCAACGTCAGCTCAAACGAGGACCAATAGTTAGAAACTTTAAAACTACTTTTTATGCGCTACGCATGGATCATGACGATTGTCGTTAGGACAAATCACGAGACAGAATCTAAACGGAATATGCCTCCTCCGCTTCTTCCGCTGCACGCGCGTCGTCTTCTCCAAGTCATCGCCTTGATGCCCAAACATGACGCCGTCTAACGGTCCACTTGTTTCCAAAACTTGGAAACGGTACCGTTCCACTCCTTATCCCTTTCTCAAACCAGCAAAAACGCAGTCGTTTACAACTATCCCCTTCCCTTTCCTTGGCAACAAAATTTCCACGCCTATAATAAGTACTTCCCCTTCATCTTCTCTACTCTCTCACTGTAAGCTTTTCTCTCTGATATCAACGAATCTACTTCATCGATCGAATCTTCTTCCTCTTCTCTCCTCAATCAGAATCCATGGCGAAAGAACCAGTTCGAGTCCTCGTTACTGGAGCCGCAGGTACTGTAACGTTTCCTTTACAATAGGAATCTCACTGTTTAGCTTCACTTCTAACTAGTTTTGAGCGATCTTCTAGTTCTAGATCTGTGCTTTTTAGCTTGTAGTTTTGCATATTCTTGATGCGCCGTTTAGATCTGGTAGGTAATGGTATAAAACTTACATATGGTAGGGCTGAGATTCTCAGAAGATCGCTGAAGTAGTAAGTAGATGTTGTCAAATCATACGGCTTATGATTTATTTGAAGTATTGATCCAGAACTCGATGAGTTTGAATTTTGTCTTTTATAGTGTTATTTGATAGTGTGTATCTTTCTCAATGAAGTAGTAATTAGATTGATGCTTTCAAATCATATAGTGTATGATTTGTTTAAGTGGCGATACGAGATTTGATCAGTTTGAATTTTTGAGTTGTGTATAAAAGTATGTATATTTTTGGATTTCCAGGACAAATTGGATATGCGCTTGTACCAATGATCGCAAGGGGAGTGATGCTGGGAGCTGCCCAGCCGGTGATTCTTCACCTGCTTGATATCCCTCCAGCTGCTGAGGCTTTGAATGGTGTCAAGATGGAGTTGGTCGATGCTGCTTTCCCTCTTCTTAAAGGTAAATAGGGAAAAACACTCGACGGATCCGTTATATGCACATGTACTGTGTTTGTGTATGTGATGTAATTGATATTTGTGTATTTTATCAGGTGTTGTTGCTACAACTGATGTTGTGGAGGCATGCACTGGAGTCAACATTGCCGTTATGGTTGGTGGATTCCCAAGGAAGGAAGGCATGGAAAGAAAAGATGTCATGTCAAAGAATGTTTCTATTTACAAGTCACAAGCTTCTGCTCTGGAGAAGCACGCAGCTGCTAACTGCAAGGTAAGTGCCAAATTTTCAAACAAATTTTATTTAGTTTGTTGCGTTTTATCTATGTTACTGGGTTATGAGATGAGTTTTGTACACGTCCCAAATACACAACTCCATCTTCATGGAGAATTATGACTAATTTGTCATTGTATCGGACTGTTCCATGTATCTCTTTGTTTTCTCAATGAAATTCTTAAGATGGTTCCACAGATGCGAGATTGTAAATGTGTCATGTCTGTATAAGGGGTGTGATCAAGCCCCCTTTGGAAAACAACTAGCTTTTTTAGGTTTTCTATACAACATGAAGACAGTTGTTGCAGTTTAAAATTTCAAATTGATTTGACATTTATATGCTACCTTTCCTTTCTTTTGCAGGTTTTGGTGGTTGCTAATCCTGCAAACACCAATGCACTGATCTTGAAGGAATTTGCACCATCAATTCCTGAGAAAAACATAACCTGTTTGACTAGACTGGATCATAACAGGGCTTTGGGCCAGGTTTCAGAGAGATTGAACGTTCAAGTTTCTGATGTTAAAAATGTTATTATCTGGGGAAACCACTCATCATCTCAGTATCCTGATGTCAACCATGCAACTGTCAAGACACCATCTGGAGAGAAAGCTGTCCGTGAGCTTGTTGCTGATGATGCATGGTATGAGAATGGGCAAATATTTAATTCTAGCTTTAGTCCTGTTATGAGGTTTACTTACATTGACGCACTCCTCTTTCGGTAGGTTGACGGGAGAATTCATTACCACTGTTCAACAACGTGGTGCTGCAATCATCAAGGCTCGTAAGCTGTCCAGTGCATTATCTGCTGCTAGCTCTGCTTGTGATCACATTCGTGATTGGGTACTTGGAACCCCTGAGGTGTGTATGATTCTGTCTGGTTTTCAGTTATATCATGTTAGACACATGTATGTATGCTTATGATTTATATGCCCATACATTCAGGGCACCTGGGTTTCCATGGGTGTGTACTCTGATGGCTCGTACAATGTTCCTTCTGGTCTCATTTACTCATTCCCAGTCACTTGCCAAAATGGAGAGTGGAAGATTGTTCAAGGTAAAACCCTCCAGCTCCTGCATTCCCTGACATTTTAATAGAATGTGAAATTCTCAGTGTTCTAATATCTTTTTGATTTGCAATTGTCTAGGGCTGTCTATTGACGAGTTCTCTAGGAAGAAGTTGGACGCAACCGCAGACGAGCTCAGTGAGGAAAAGGCTTTGGCATACTCTTGCCTCTCTTGAATGTCCACCCGTCTATTATTCCTGGGCGTGGTTTAGGGTTTGCCTGCCTGCAATGTGTGACAAATGGAAGTAGCTGAAGTTTTGAATAATGCCATTGTTAAGATAGAGAGATCTGTTAATGATGCAGAAGCTGCTTCTGTGGGTTTTACAGTTGTTGAACCCATTGTTATATCCCGGATGCTTGACTTCTTTTCTCTCTTTCGTTTTTTTGGAAAAATTGCGAATTTGAATGTGGTATTGAGACGTAAAATAACCCATATTTGCCTTGATTCTAAGACTTCGAAAAGAGTCCTCAGGTTTCATGTCACTTAAATTACCTTTTAAGCCTTAAGAGTTTGATAACATATATGTTCCGCTGTTTGTGATCATAATGATGTCTACAATCTGGGGTTATATTTAAATGTTAATCTGCATTGTGCATTATATAGGGATAGTTGAACGCGATCTTGCTTCCATTTTCTAAATGATTTGGTTTTTGTGTTTTTGCTAAAAAGAGGACAAATCATTCGTACCCAGAATAGTTAACAGTGAACTGAAGAACATTACAGCCCCAAATCCAGGATGGTCCTATCCAAACTAAAGATTACATAGCAAGCGCAAAGGCCAGAAATCAATGAGCCAAAAAACCAGAATACTACCATCCCACTATAAACCAATACACCATCAAGTATCAGTGTCAAATAGAACCCAGCTATTGAGGCAAAATCATCTCAAACTTGATGAGATACCACCACCAAGAGAATGAGCATAACCACTCAGAAATGCTCCCAATGCTAAGCCAAGTATCAAAGCACTCTCCCTTCTCCACTAGGTCCGCATCACCCAATCTCTGAAATGTTCCATCTCTACAAAAGGCTTCTCCACCAAATAATCCCGATCCTCAACGCATAGAATTCCTTGGCAAAGAAATAAAACAACTTCAGATTTACAAGGAACTCCATTAGATCGGAGCAACACAAAAGAGGAAATGGGAAAGAATTGGTACAAGAGCCAGTGAACAAACCCCAGAAAATAAACTAGGGAACTCCATTAGTTATTATTACAACCGTCGTTGTTCTTATGTAAAGACGACCGTTTTATGTTAAAAATCGTCGCTATTTATGGGTAAAGACGGCAGTTTATAAAAAACATCGTTATTTGTGAGTAAAGACGACGATTTTTGTTTAAAACCATCATAAATTATGGGTAAATAAGTCAAAATTTTGTTACAAACCATCGTTAATTGTATATAAAGACGACGGTATTGTATTGAAAACGGTCATTAATTATATGCACAGAAGACGGTTTTTTCAATAAAACCATCGTTTTATTATCTTTAAATTTGTTGTCTAATAAGTTCTCAAGCTGTTACATTTTAGTTTTTTGTTTCCTATGATTCTATACAATGATTTTAACTAGAAAACCAATTATAATGCTTTATTAACGAGTATATACACTCAAAAATTATTTCTTTCATAAAACGTGAAGATTCAATAGTTATTACATAGTTAACCAATCTTTATTCTATTACATACATAATTCGTACTTATAATTAGAAATAAAGGAGCTCACAAATTCTACTAATTTGATATGAACTTTATCAATTTGTTCTTGGATTGACTTAGCTCTGCCTTCTTGCACATTTTCCAAGTTGTTGTATTCCCCTCCCCCTGTAACAACATCAGCAACAACAGGTCCTTCTACAAGACTTGCAAAATGAACATCAAACTCCACAAACACAAATCTTACTTCAGCAATCATGTTGTTTTTGTCCATTCACAGTGCGCCTTGTGTGAGCTTTGAGAAAAGATAACCATAAACAAAGTATTCCTGCAAATAACAATAGGGATAAAAGGCAGAGCCAAAGTAAGAGAAGGGGTTTAACTGAACTGCTTCAATTATCTATAACCAATAACCAAATCCAAACCTATAACCAATACCAACAACAGCAATACTGAACTCAAAAAACAAAGATATTCTTCAATTGAAGAGTTAAAAGTCTCAACAGTCAACAGCGCAAAACTCACGTTACATAGAGTCTTTGCGTCGATATCCGTGAGGTTGTTGTGTTTACCACAGTAGAAAGACTGGCCTTCCTCCCCCAAATCACACCTTCCTGTTATTGTTCATGGAATTCAATCTCTCATTTTCTTTACTGGGTTCACAAAGAAGTAGCAGTCAAGACTAATTGATGCTTGACGATGACTGAAAATTGATTTGACGGTGATTTTAACAAATCACAAAAAAGGAAGAAAATTTACACTGACGACAAAGTTCAGTAAATCCACGAGGACCACAAAAATGGATATTTTGATTCAACTTTTTTTATTTCTTTAACAAGACCACAAGTTTGTAAGTCGTTAGCTCCTTTGTGAGTCGTGACCACTCCTAGCTTCCTACTTCAACTGTCATACGTAACCATCTTGGAAAAAACTGAGAAAAAACACTCCTATTCCCTCAACTTTTAACAATTTTAAAGAGCATGTCATCAATCATGGGCTTGAAAAGTTTGTGGAAAAATTGAAATGAAATGATGGACAAGATAGAGACAAGCTTATTAAAGTTTAGAAGTTGTTCTGCTTTTTCCTAAAATCAATGTAGATAAGTACATGCCTGGTGTTCAAACCAAAATGGGAATGCGAATTTTGGATCACACAAAGTTTATATGTATTTATTTGACTTCTCTAGTTCATACATACAAGTCTTGTATACAATCATATTGCCGACAAAAAAAACTATTATTAGTGGTGAAAATCTGAGCTCATATGGCCTTTTGATGAACCTCTAAACATCCATCCATGATCAAAGGCATTACTTCAAAACATAATCCGATGCATATATGTTCATAGCATATGATAATTATATTTCTTTCCTTGTGAAAAAAGTTCAACTACATCATCGATTTCGCCATCATCGTCGTCATCGTCATCATCATTGTTACATAAACTTGAACAAATAATAACAAGCTTCTAAGGAGGATCATCACTAAAACCTAGCTAGCCATAAACTATATACAAAACTGTTTCCACCAACTCAATCTTTTTAATTGTCTCCCACACTTTATTCTGTTCTTTATCCACCTTTCAATTAACCACCAATATTGTGAAGACAACCCGAATCGCCTTTTCTAGATTATACATATATCCTTTATCCTTTATACGAAGAGGTACTAGCTAGCCTTTTAGTTTCTTCGTCAATGCACAAGTCTTACTTTTGGACAAAGGGGACAACAGACTTTGCCCCCACTATTGAAATTTCTGTCCAATAAGCTAGCTTTTTGTTAACGGTCAAATTTGAAGATATAGAAATATTTAATAACTATTCTAACCGCCATTTAAAAATTGCCTCCAAAAGAGAGAGGGTCTGGTAAAAGAGTTTATCAAAATTCTGGTAACTCTCGTGTGTCCCCATAGCCAGCTCTAATGAAAAGGTCGTACCAAAACTCCATGCCATCATCCATGTTTGGACAAAAAGTAAAACCCAACTCCCCTGAATCGTTTTCAGTGATTGGAAATTGGGGTTGTGCTTGATCATTTGTGGCCTCTGGAAATTCCAATTGGATGCTGGAGTTATCAGCTGAGAGTGCCTCACACCAGAAACTGTCGTCGATTTCGGGGAATGTTTCCGAAAGCTCCATGTTTTCGCCTTTGATGGTTATCATGTCCTGGTGATTATCATCAGTCAATGCAGCTGTGACTTCTGTGACTGAGGAAACATCACTGGAACTGGAAGATGGTTGTGGAGAATTCATATTTTCTGGCTCAGCAGACTGGCTTGCGACATTGGAAGCACTGCTTGCTGGTGATGAGGTTGAAGTCTGATCTTTGAGTCTTTTCTTCAAGTGGGTGTGCCATACATTTTTTATCTCGTTGTCTGTGCGTCCTGGTAATCTTGCTGCAATTGCTGACCACCTGAAAATCGATGGAGGAAATAAATAAAATTAAAATATTTTGCGTGAGAGTTTGGCTTTTTTTTTTGTGCAAGTACAAAAATTTATGCTTGATTTTGAATTTGACTGCAACTTGTGACCACATTTTCTGGCTGCATGTGGTTCACTTGGTTTAATTTATTGGGGTGACTTCCAATTAATCTAGAGAGAATCTTTTGATCAGCCCACTTGCTATTCTTTTATAGATATATAGAAACCAGTTGCCTTTGTTTGTGTGTTCGAGAAACGATCGTGGTTTTAATTTCCATGAAATTGTTGTGGTTAATTCTAGCTAGTCATCATGCCCACTTAATTAAGGGCAAGAAGAGAGGAGTATAATCCTTTACTTCAAAGCAATGTCTATAGCCTAACATCCCACTTGATAAACATATATAGGAACCTACACCCATAATATCCAGCCAAAATTAAAAGGAAAAACAATACCATCATGTAAAGGTTAACTGAAAGCCTGTTTCTAAATTACGTGCAGTGTGTGTGAGTTTCGTATGTTATCGCCTCTCTCAATATGAAAGGTCCTAAAAAAAACATGTTTCTAAATTAGCTTAATTATAAAAGTTTCATGAAAAATACCTGTTACCCAGCATTTCATGCAACTTAATGATAGCTTCCTCTTCTTCTCTTGTGAAGTTTCCTCTCTTGATATCGGGTCTCAAATAGTTTATCCACCGGAGTCTGCAGCTCTTCCCACATCTCAACAAGCCTAATTAAAGAAATAAGTGGAGAAAAATATATGAGTCCAAAGCTCAAATCAAACAGAATTTAGCTTCTATTTGAAGTATTCAGAAAAGTTGGATATAACAGTAAAACTTGTGATCCTGCAATGCACCAAGCTATGTGAAAGAAATGATCTTATTAATCTATGGAGAAAAAACCCCCAGATTTGGAACTTGTAATTACCAGCTTGCTTTGGCAGGGCACGCCAGTTTCCATGACCATATTTTCGGATGAAGAAAACTAGAATTTGGTCTTCTTCAGGCGTCCATGGCCCTTTCTTCAATCCCATCTTCTCACAGCAAGGAGCTCTCACCATCTCTCTCTCCCTCCTCTCTCTCTCTGCTGAATAATTTGGTAGTCGATAATGTACACACTATAGCTATATCTTTCAAAGGAGCAAAGCGAAGCTAAGATATAGTAGCTAGTTTGGTTGAGTTTTTGATGAGCTCAATATTTTTGAGGCCATGGTGTGGCTATTTATATCCTATAAGATCTCTACTCATATAAAAAAGGTGTCTGAATTGGACCAAGACAAAGAAAATGTATATTCAAAGCGCACTTGCAATTTCCGGGAAGGAGATAAAAATACGAAGACTTTAAGCTTTTCATTGAGAGTGGAGAGACTAATTAAGAGTTGCAGAGATTTACAAGGCTTGTCATATAGCGAGTATACTAAAAGTACACGACCCAGGACGTGCAGCAGACAAAATATCTGGCCCATTATCTCATAAATTAATAATAAGAAAATAGTGTGACGTTCGATAGTTGAAGCAGCCAAAGTAACAAACCTTTTCTCTGTAGCTTTGCTGAAAATATTACAATTTTTTTTCTTTTCGTAATTGCAATTTTCTATTGGATACTTCTTGCCTCCTTTCTTGGCAGGAGATATTCCTTCCTGCAAATTACTGTTTGACAAATGTGCAAAAATAATTCATCGAAAACGCAAAAAGAAAAACTTCTACACACATATCATGCTATCATTGACAGAAATACAAGAGTATCTACTTACCGAATCTATTTGTTCAATTAATTATGGTGAAGTGCTATTAATTAAGTACCAATGGCAGTGATTAGTTTGAAGAACTAGTTTGGTTATATAATAAATAGTACGCTACGTGTATAGAACTACAAGCAAATAACATAATACAGGTTTATTTTTTCATGAAAAAAGAAATACACACCATCTCTTTCATTGTTTTTGTGGATATAAAAAGAAATATAATTGAAAAAATGCTCTAATAAATAGATTACTTTGAAATTAACAATAGAAAAGGAGAGAGAGAGAGAGAGAGAGGGAGGAGAGAGAAAGAGACGGGAGAGGGAGGAGAGAGAGAAAGAGAGATAGAGAGAAATGTAAAATCTCACTTTTTTTTGTTTTCAATAATGGGGTGTTTTTACCAACAGGAGTTGGTCCAAGTGGAAGGGGCTTGGATCCTTTAAACAAGAGGTCCTGGGTTCGATCCCAGGCTCTTGCGAATAGAGCAGACTTTGTTGGGAGAGGTCCCCGCTTTGCGCCCGACAGTACCTCAAGGGTTAGTCCCCGCAATCGCGCGGGGGATACCTTGGTTTTCACCCAAAAAAAAATATATAAATCGGTCAATTCTAAAATGTCCTAAACTAAGTCAACCAATTCACAAATTTCCTTTTCGCCTGACAACTAATTCTCAAAAAAATAAAAATAAAAATTGAAGTATGTTAGTTTTGATCGAGTAAGTGTATTTGCACCCATTAATCTGCTCAACACACTTTTTAAATTTAGTATCGACAATTCTACTCTTATTAAGTAAAAAACAATCATGGCATGAGGGAAAAGATAGAAAACTCCTCTCTCACGTGTTACGACCATGTATTAGAGTAGAAGACATAAAACGACCTATCCTCCTTGTCATGTCTAATGACTTTGGAGGGCGGAAGGGGAAGGCCTCCCTCTTTCCCGTCGGCCCTCCTTCCTCTTCGTCGGCCCTTTCTAAGTTTATCATGATTATTAACTTTGCCACAATCATAAATAAAAAAAGTAGTGAATGTTAATTAGTATTAGGGAAACACCGAATCAGGTGGGGTGAGATAAGTTTTTCATTATTTTTTATAAAGGGCCTAGAGTTCATTAACTTTGAAAACATAATACAATGGTAGTAAAATAACAAATCTAGAAATTGTCTTAAAGAAACGAAAATGTATTGAGTAATTTATTAGATGCAACTAGATCAACGAAATGATAAGGTGGTGGATCCAGTCTTCAAAAGTTTTGGTATAAAAATTAATGAATTTTGTAGTGTAATTGTAAATCTTCATAAATTGTTATAGTTGAATTTAATTGTAACAGCTGGGATAAGGATGGTATATGAAAAGTCAACAAGTTTGACTGGTATTCTTCTCATGGGTCAAAGAAACACGCATGTGCGGATGCGCTGATCTCCAATCATAAACAAGACAAACGAAAAATGATCGGCCGGTCACCTTCTCAAATAAGCATTTTTGTAATCATTAACTTCATAAGAGGATGGCGCGCCACTGAGTCAAAACCCCAG